CCAAGCTTGTGCCTCTGGATCTCAACACTCTGGACCTGCCACTTGCATCTTTTCCCCTTCCTGTTTTTGCTTCTTTTCCTGTGGTAGCTGCGGTCCTCCGGATCTGACTGCCTTGTCCCGACACGACTTAGAAGAGAACCTGTTGAATTCCATTGTCTTGCTGGAAGCTCTTTCCCACCAGCTACAAGCTTGGAAGAGCCAGCTGACTGTCCCTCACCAGGAAGCTCAAGACAGTGGCACTCAGACTGACAGCTCTCCTTGTGGGGTAAGAAGCTTCCTCAGAGAGCATGGAGGATCCCGATGGGCCTTCTGCCTCAGAAATTAAGCTGAGAAGCTGCCAGAGGGAAAAAGACAATGCCTTAATCACAGGCTCAGTCATAGAATATCTGTGAAAACTGAGCTGTTAAGCCAGGTATGGTGGAACTTGTGTATAATCCCAGGATTTAGAAGGCTGAGGCATGAGGACCTCAAATTCAAGGCCAGCCTGCCCTATACAGAGAGTTTGAGGCTAGCCTGTCTTTTTAAAACAGCTAAAGATTGCTAGTCCTCTCAATCAATCAATCTCTCACTCGCTCTCATACATACACACACACACACACACACACACACTCATGTTCAGGCAGTTCGGTTGAGTCAGTGAGTTGAGAGGCAGTGAAGAAGAGTTTGTGACAATTCAGTTTGTGGAATTTGGAGGCAGTTTTTACCAGGTGGCACATGCCTTTAATTATAAAAGTAACTTTTATTTGCCTGATGTAATTGTTGTCTTGGAGGTTGACTGCCCCTGTCTGCTAACCTAGGCCTAGTCCTAGAAGATTCTAGCCTTGGTACAACCTTACCTAGGCCTAGAATGGTTTTTTGCCTCTGAGACTTATTGCTGAATAAGCTTACCCTTTCTGGTTCTTTTTGAGCTCTTCTGGCTCTTTCTCATTCTCTGGCTTGTTCTGTCTTCACCTGTGTTGAGCTTGTCTCTTTAACCTGTCTTTGAAAAACTCTCCTGGTAAAAACTGCCTCCGAATTCCACAAACTGAACTGTCACAAACTCTTCACTGCCTCTCAACTCACTGACTCAACCGAACTGCCTAAACATGAATGTGTATGTGTGTATGTGTATGAGAGCGAGTGAGAAATCGATTGATTGATTGATTGATTGATTGATTGATTGATTGATTGAAAGGACCACAACACCTTGAGGCCAGAGGCCATCTTTTGGGAGTTGGTTCTCTTCATTGTCAGCGTTGTCAGTTGTGGGGATAGGACTGGAGTTGACAGGATTGCATGGCCATCTTGCTAGCCTCTCATTAAACATTTCTGATGAAAGTTCACTAAGATTTTTGGCATATATCCCCAAAGGAGTTTCTAGTCTTGGGTGACATGCCATAGTTATTCTTGTTATTTAGCAAAAGGATTTTTAGTATTGTTAGAATGGAAAAGTCATGAATTTTGCTGAATCATGTTCTACTGTGGGAATTTTAGTAATCTGCATTCAGGAGAGAAGCTTCATCTGTTGACTGCAAATAAATTCACTGGCTGTATTTAGGATTAGAATTAGGATCAAAATTAGAATACTATTTCAAGAAAATGCATGGGACTGGAAATGATTATCCTAAGTGAAATAAGCCAGACTCAGATAAATAATGCATGCTTTCTCTCCTATACAGATACTAGATTTTAGTGTTGTATGTGTTTTTGAAGGTCATAAAACTAGAGGGGATCATGAAAAGGAAATGAATAAAGGGAGAGAAAAAAAAACAAAGCAAAAGTAATGATATACATGTGACAGTGAAGGAGGAGGGAGGCCTAGGGAGAGGGAAGGGGCAGCATCAGAGGAAACGAAGTATGACAAACAGTGCTGGGAGCTGCAGAGATGTTCCAGCACTTAGGAGCACTTGCCGAACTTTCAGAGGGCCTTTGTTTAGGTGCCAGCACTCATGTGGTGCCTCAAACCATCCTTAATTCCAGTTCTAGGGGATTTGAAGCCCTTTTCTAACCTCTCTAAGCATCAGGTGTGCATAAACATAACACTCATACACATAAAAACTAAAAAAAATATATTTAAAAATTCACAATGAAACCTATTGCTTTGTACACTCATTAAAAATAAAATAAAAAATAAGCAGAGTGGTGGCATACCCCAGCACCTGGGAAGCAGAGGCACATGGATCTCTTGAGTTTGAGGCCAACATGGTCTACAGAGAGAGTCCAGAACAGCTAGGGCTCTGTTACACAGAGAAACCTAGTCTCAAAATACCCAAAACACAAACAAACAAAACCCCACACAACAACAACAAAAAGAAATTAAAAGCAAGGTACAGTGGCACACACCTCTAATCCTAGCACTTGGGAGTCCGAGTCAGGCAGATTTCTGTGAATTTGAGAACAGCCTGGTCTACACAGTGAGGATATGTAGGACCTCACAGAGACTCTGTCTCAAAACAAAAAAGCAAAACTAGGAAATTTAAAAAGGAGTTGTAATGTCATGGTGATCAACAATCCAAACAAGCAGTCGCACACATAAATAAAAGTGTTTTTTAAAAAAATTTAGCCAGGAACAAAAGCAAAACCAAAAAATTCTACTTTGACGGTATGAGAGGAAATTATTTCTTTTAAGATGTGTTGTTTTCCTGAAAATCTATTTTTCATGTGCCTTTTGAGACTAGAGGTGTCAGATCCTTTGGAGCAGGAGTCACAGGTGTTTCTCAGCTGTCCAGTGTGGGTGCTGGGAATCAAACTTGGGTAAGAAGAAAGGAATTTAAGGACCAGTGTTCTACAAGTGCCTGTAATCCTAGCACTTGGGAAGAGTAGGAAGATCAGGAGTTCAAGCCCTTCCTCAGCTACACATGAACTAAGCGCCAACCTGAGCTTCGGGAGAGCTTGATTTTTGTTGTTTTTTGGTTTTTGCTGCTGTAAGATAGTGATGAAGAGCACTGTCCTAGCAGGCTCTTGATGTGGCATCACAGGCATAGGAAGAAAGAGAATAGTGTTGGAGAAAGGATGGAGAGTCTCAGCATGAGGCTGCAGTAACAGTAGTGACTGTCTTGGAAGAGATGGTGCCCCAAACCCTCTCTTCAGTTGCAGTTACTCTCAGCGTAACTTCACTCCCCCATTTCCCTCCCGAATCTGGAAACCACAGACTCCTTGTTTCTCTAGCTGGCCTGTTTCTCTCTTGAAATTTCTTTGTATCTTTTTTCTTGTCCTTGGCCTCATTTCATGTCCTTAGATCTGCCCTCTATCCTTTTCCTCTGAAGCTGCCAGGTCCTTTGGGAGGCCACCGAAGCAGAACCAGAGAAAGGAAATGACATCCCTTCAGCCATTTGCCATCACTGTGCATATCCTTACTGCTTGGCTGCCTCCTCACATTAATCTCATCACCTGCCTCACTGCCCCGCTCTGAGCGGTGTGTGTGGCCTACCCAGGACTGTGGGGTCCTTCCCACATGATGTCCTAGATAATGCTCTTAGTTGCTGAGGCATCTTTCTGACAACTAGTGTTTTTTATTTTTTAATTAGTATACACTGGTTTCATCATGGCATTTTAAAACAATGTTTTTGTTGATCTTTCCTGCCCTTTTTCTCTGTCTCCCTCCTTTCTTGTACCCTTCAACCCACCTCCCATTACCTTTCCACTAAAAAGCTCCATCCTTTCAGACTGGAGATACATGACTCAGTGGCTGAGCACTTGCCTCCTTTGACACAGTACAGCAGAAAAATTTTAAAAGGGGGAGGGGTGAGCAGGAAAGTTGGCTCAGTGTTAAAAGCTCCTCCTGTACTTCCAAATGACCCAACTATGATTTTAGCACCCACATGGCAAGTCACAACTGCCTTTAATTCCAGGGATCCAACACCCTCTTTTGGCCTCCATGGACACCATGCACACATGTGCTGCCTAGACATACATGTAGACAAAACACGTCTATATGTAATTTTAAAAAAGTTTTTTTACATTTGAAAAGCAAACTTTTTACTCCTGTGTGTGTGTGTGCATGGGTGCTCCAGTGCACATATGTGTAGAAGTCAGGGATCTAAGTTGTCAGTCCTCAGGCGTCTCCTATGTTTTTGTTTAGACAGAGGCCTGGAACTTTGTCACACAGGCCAGACTGAACTGGCCCTTGAGCTTCCAGGGCTCTGTCAGTCTCCACCTTCCATCTCACCATCACTGAGATTGCAGGCACACACCACCACTGCATCTGTATTCCCCCAGTCCCCCCAGGGTAACAGCTTTGGCTGTCCTGGAACTCAGAGATCCTCCTGTGCCTGCTTCCTGCGTGCTGGGATTAAAGGTGTGTGCTATCACATCCAGCTTTTAAAATAAGATTAATTATTTTATTTGTATGTGTGTGTGTGCTTGAGTACACACCATATGTATACAAGCTCCTGCAGAGGCCAGAAGAAAGCATTTGGTCAACTGGAACTGGAGTTCCAGTGCTAGGCGCCAAACCCCGGTCTGAGGGACTAACCCTGTGTTTTTTGAAAGGTAACGAGTACTCCCAAACACTGAGCCGTATCTCTAGCCCCATCCCAGCTTTTTACATGGGTTCCAAGTACATCCTCTGTTTGTAAGGCAAGCACTTTCCTATGTATCCGGCCCCATCTAGGTTCTTCCTTCTCACTTGGCTTCATCTGGTTATGAACTAATGTTTCTATCTCATGAATGGTTCTTGTAACTTACTGGCATGAAGCCACATTAGAGGCTGCTGGTGTATGTTATCCATCTAAAAAGAGCAATTATTTTTTTGGCTAGGTCACTAAGACACCTCAGCATCTTTGGGACAGCAAGGAGATTAGACAGGCCCTTCAGCAAGCCAGGAATGCCATGGTAAGTTATTGACTGAATTTATACCACTTCTGGGGGCACTTGTGAAGATAAAAATTGGAGGATCCTGGTTGGTTAGCAGATGGTGATACTTAGCTGTGGCAGTGAAGGGAACATTCCAAACCTTTTATCAAGAATGTCTCACTTCTTCCGGAAGTTGCTTTCCCAGGCGGCCTTCCTAGTCATGTGGTCTTTGTGACTTCTACCATGGCGTATCGTGGCCAGGGCCAGAAGGTGCAGAAGGTGATGGTGCAGCCCATTAACCTCATCTTCAGCCACTTGCAAAATAGATCTCGAATTCAGGTGTGGCTGTATGAGCAAGTGAATGTGTGGATGGAGGGCTGTATTATTGGCTTTGATGAGTACATGAACCTTGTATTAGATGATGCAGAAGAGATTCATGATTCAAAGTCAAGAAAACAACTGAGTCGGATTATGCTAAAAGGAGATAATATTACTCTGCTCCAAAGTGTGTCCAACTAGAAATGGTCAAACACGGGAGAAGTTGCGATTGGAAATCCAGTTTTTAAAGACATTTTTTGTGCTGAGAACAGTCTGAGACTTTTATTTGTATTGTTTTATTGTTTTAGTGCCCCTTACCACTAACAATAAATGCTGTGAGATTGTTTTTGTTACAAAAAAAAAAAAAAAAAAAAAAAAAAAAAGAAGAAGAAGAAGAAGAATGTCTCATTTGCTGGGCGTGGTGGCACACGTCTTTAATCCCAGCACACAGGAGGCAGAGGCAGGTGGATCTGTGAGACCAGCCTGGTCTACAAATTGAGTCCAAGACAGCCAGGGCTACACAGAGAAACCCTGTCTCATAAAACTAAAACGGAAAAGAGAGAGAGAGAGAGAATGTCTCATAATTAGAAATTTGGAATTAGAGGGTCAATGGCTTTTCCCCCGCAGTGTTTCTTCATCTTGCTTAATGAGTTTATCTGCTCTAACCTTGCTGCCTTCCCCTCTACAGCAGTCATGGATGCTAGTCTCAAGAGAACTGATACCCTTGCTTCACCTGTCCCTGGCACACATGAGCGAAGACAGAATGACAGTGAGTCAGGAGGTAAGCATTGTGATAGTGTGACTGCAAGCCCGGAAGAAGGCGCAGGACAGCATCTCATTCTTCCTTGTAGTCTCAGCGTGCAGAGACCCTGGTTTCCTCCTGTTCTCATGTACTGAAGAAACTGAAGGCGAAGCTTCAGAGCCTTAGAACAGAAAGAGAGGAGGCAAGGCACAGAGAGGAAATGGCCCTTAAAGGCAAAGATTCGGTAAGGACTGCACTTGAAGGTTCTGTAGGAATGACTTGAGACATAGAACTGCCTGCCTTGGGGAAATGAAGAGCTTCTGAGGTCTCTATGGTTGTGGCCTTCTGTGCCATTTCTTCTGTTATACACCATGTCCTTGCAACCTTTTCCCTAAAAGGCAGAGGCAGTACTGGAGGCTTTTCGTGCGCATGCCAGCCAGCGCATCAGCCAACTGGAACAGGATTTGACATCTATGAGGGAGTTCAAAGGCCTTCTACAGGAAGCCCAGACCCAATTGGTAATTGTGTTTTCCTTTTTGAGACAGGATCTCACTGTATAGTTGAGAAGTTGCTAAGTAGACCAGGCTGGCATTGAATCACAAGAGATCTGCCTCCTGGGCACTGGGATTAAAGGTGTGTGCCACCATTCCCAACGCAACTTGTAATTTAAGGGCATTTTTGTTCTTGGGGCACCGAGAAGATGGTCACATATTCCCACTTAGCTGCCTCCATAAACCTTCCCTTCCAGACAGGGCTCCACACAGAGCAAGAGGAGCTGACTCAGCAGACAGTGAGTCTAACTTGTGCTTTACAGCAGGACTGGACATCAGTCCAACTGGATGTGAGTATTTGGGGACATCACACCATTCCCTTAGAGGCAGTTTCCCATCCTTGAATGTGCTCTGCTCTACTTTGGTAGTACGGGACGTGGGCAGCTTTGCTGAGTCGGTCTCTAGAACTCACCAAGAAACTCACAACCAAGAGCCGGCAGGCCCTTCAGGAACGTGACACTGCAGTTGAGGAAAAGAAGCAGGTAACTTGGAGTGGGCGCTGCTTGGGCCTGCTTTCTCTCACTTTGCCTAGCTGTAAGATGGTGGGAGCCCAGGTGTTTCCTTTGATCCCAAAACCTTCTCTTCAGTAATTTGTCTTGTCTCTACTTGTTCCTGGGGATCAGCTTCATTTTCTACAATGTTGCTGTTCTGGAAGTTTCCTCTGTTATCCATAGGAAATGCTTCACTGAATTCTGGGGTTCCTGACTCAGTAGGAAATAAATTGTCTTTTCTAGATTTCGAAGGAACTGGAACAAGTCTCTGCCTATTTAGAGGACTGTAAAGGCCAAATAGAACAACTGAAGTTGGAAAATAGTCACCTCACTGCAGGTGTGTGTGTGTGTGTGTGTGTGTGTGTGTGTGTGTGTGCATGTGTGCATGCAAGTGCACAGACAGTTAACCTGCTTGTCTTCTGGCAGGAGAGTAAGGAGGTGCTATGAAAAACTTGATCTGGGGCAAGTGTGTGTGTGTGTGTGTGTGTGTGTGTGTGGTAGTGGTGCCCCGGCTTATCACATGGTGTCATTAGGATACGTTTGATCTAGATCTCTGGGCTCAGCAGCAGATTCTGACTAGCACAGACAGCCAACTAAAGGAGCTACAGGGTCAGCATTCCTGTTGTGTTCAGGACCTGGCCATGAAGGAGGAGTTGCTGTGTCAACTTACCCAGAGCAACAAGGAACAGGCTGCTCAGTGAGTTCCTGTCGGGTAATTGTGACAATAGTGACCCATCATGGAGGTCTGAATGGGATCTAATAGATGGTCTTTGGCAGATGGCAAAAGGAAGAAATGGAACTAAAACACACCCAAGCAGAACTGCAGCATCAGCAGGCAGTACTGGCTAAGGAAGTACAGGACCTGAAGGAGACCCTGGAGGTAGGCAGCTCAGCTTGGAGCAAGGGGCAGATGAACCTCAGGAGTGTGACCTGTGCCTGCTGGGGTTGTGATGAAGTTGAGACTGAACTGGAGGAAGCCTCTGTCCCAGGCTCCAAAGTTCTTTCTCCATTCTTCCTCCTTCCCTTCATCCTTCCCTCCATTATTCCTTCCTTCCATCCATCCATCCTTCCTTCCATCCACCCCTCTTCTTCCTTCCTTCTCCTATCTTTCCAGTTTGCTGATCAAGAGAGTCAGGTTGTGCACTTGGAGCTGGGCCAGATGGAAAGTCAGTTGAAGGCGACACTGGAAGTGCTCCGGGAACGCAGCCTGCAGTGTGAGAACCTCAAGGACACGGTGGAGAACCTGAGGTAAGAGTGCTGCTTCCCACAGTGCTTCTGTTTCCCACCAGCCCTTCCAGAAGCCAGAGTCTCCCTGAAGAGAACCATGGGAGTATCGAGCCTTTCTCTCTTTCTCTTTCTCCTAGAATATGGGGAATCTGGGAGAAGTGTTCAGAGTAAGTACCTGATCTTTGCTCACCTTCGGGCTCCTGCATTTCAGGGCTGAGCTGGCCAGCACAGTAGCAAAGCATGAGAAACAGGCCCTGGAGAAGACACAGAAGCATTCCCGAGAGCTGTGGCTGCTGATGGAGCAGCTCCACAGTGTCACCCTCTTCTTACAGGCAAAACTAAGGGAGAACAAGGTAGGACATGGGGTGTCCATTCCACACCACTGTCTTCCTTTACCTTTTCCTGTTTAGTTCTGAGAACTGAGCTTAGGGCCTCACATACAACAAGCAGCCAGCCAGCCACTGAGCCTTATTCCTGTTTCCCAGTTGCATCTTTCTTATAGAGAGTAGACTTTTTCTTTTTAAGATTTAGTTATCTATTTATGGTTATGTTACATGTGTGCAGGTGCCTGTGGGGGCCAGAAGAGGGAGTCATATCCCCTGGAACTGGAGTTACTGGCTATTGTGAAATATTCATGTGGGTGCTAGCAACTGAATAAACTAGGTCTTCTGGGAGAGCAGAAAGCATTCCTAACTGCTGAGCTACTACCTCTCCAGCCTTTCCAGCAGACTTCCTAAAAAGTCCACTCTTGCTTCATACTGTGATGATCAATGATTTTGTTACCCTCAAGAACTCTTTAGCCTGTCACTTAAACCTTCTTCTGCCGTTCAAAGAGAAGCCTTTTGCTCTAATTATGCTGCTTATGTTGGCATATTTTCTTATCTATTTTGTTTGGGTTCTTATACCTATCACCCTTCCAACCCTTACTCCATCCTAATCCCTTGCAACCTCCCAATACTGGTAGGACAGAAAGGAGGTTAGAGGGGAAAAGGGGTTGTAGACCTCTATAGAGGCTACTTCCTGCTGATTAGGGATGTAGAGTTCTTTGAGGCAAGTCCAGTCTTCATCTTCAGAATATCCAGCCGTCTAGCAATCCAGCAATAGCAAATGTAGCAGCAGGATACAGCAGCAGCAGTGGGGCCAACAGCAGGGGAAGGACAACACAGGCCCTTTCGGGGCTCTCCCACTTGTACCCTCTCAGAGGCCCCAGCATTAAACTCTCTGCAGCTGGCAACAGGTCACACCACTGCTAGTGCATGAGGCAAGTCATAATCACCTGCTGTGAAGCAGCCTCTTACCCCACACCTGGGATTAAAACAAAAACATTTTCATATAGCATAACTGGGTTGTTGAAGTAACCAAAAATCTTACTACCTGCCTATACACACATCTTGTTCCTGGCCTCCAGATGTTTCTATACCTATTCTCTTCTGTTTTCTATGGCAATCCTTTCTTCTTTTCTATGAAAATCCTCCCAAAATCACCTTCCTGGAGAATGTTTGAGATCACACAGGCTCCATGGTTCTGACACTTGCTTTCCTTAGGTACTTGTATTAACTTTCTTTGGGTATCCGTGTTTAAAGAAAGAAATGTAGCCTTGCTTTTTTGGTTTCTCCATGGTATATGCTAAACAATAAATCTGTTGATAGTCAGCATTTAGAATTAATTAGATTATTCAACAGTTAAGAGGTACAGCCAAGATCCTGTTCTCCAGCAGGGGTTGAGCACTGAAAATAATGGGAAAACAGGCAGTTGTAAAGTTGTCACTGTGACGTATGAGCTGTGTGGACTACCGTGGGAACTTAAAAGGAAGGCCATTTTTACCTCTGAGAGTTAGGATGTCTTCTCAAAGCAAGTGGCTGACCCCAGCAGTAGAGGTTTTGAAGTTTATAGGAAAGGGCAGGCATGTAAGAAAGCCCACCATCCAGAGGTAGCATGAAAATGATATATAGAAAGTTATACACAAAATTATGTGTCCTTTTTTTGTAGTGTCTAACTCAGCAAGACTTGGTTGATTTTTGAGATTATAGCATGAACAAGCAAGGCCTTGCTTATAGAGACTGTGGCTGTTTGGGGCATGGGAAGAGAATTTTTATAATTAGAGTGTAGGAAGTAAATGGGCTAGAGATAAGTCCGGAAAAGTAGATGGGCCATGTTCTGAAGATGTGAACTAGTAACGCTAGGTATGGCG